TGATAGGTAAGATTATGTAGACATAATTTGGGCTTCTTTTAAATAAATTAATTTTTTTCTATTTGGTGCCTTGGCTTTAGTTTATTTTGTTGACTTGATGCAGTATTATTAAATTTATTTGTATGTTATGCTATATAGTACAGGGTATTTGTGTTTGGCCTAATTTTTGAGCAGCTGACAAAAATTACTTAATTACTTAATTCACAACATGTACATGAGTCAAAGTGAAAAATTCTTTTCTAGACATTTTTGATGAAATAGCCTGTCTTTAAAATTTTTTAAATATTTATTTCTCTGCTATCGTGTGATCTTTATGATGTGCTTATTTTGTACTTTAGTTCAAAGAAAAAGTGTCTTTGCCGATACTGCTCATCAAGGAACTGAGAAATATTACAGCCACTGAACTAAAACTTCATTTAATTCGTGTTATTATTGTCTGATTTTGTGTAGCTACTGATTTTTTCGTACATTATTATTAAAAATAAAATTTTAGATTAATAACTCACAAATTGGTGACAATTAACCATAACAGCTGAGCAGTAGTAATGCATACAACAGTTCAGCCCCATCAATGATGCTGGCATGGCCGGAGCCACAAAATTAAAAGTGGTTCGGCCAAAATTCTGAATTTAGCAAACAATAAATCGACAATAATAGCAAATAATAAGGAATAAGAGAAAGAATGCATGCAACATCATCATAAAGACAATGTTCAAAATTTATAGCTGTAGCTAACTACAGTTTACAGTCAATGGCTTTAGTGCAAATTAGTGGCACATTCACTGTACTAAACACCAATTTATTAATGTAATCAAAACCTTACTGGCCTTACCAGTGGCTCTGGCATGGATGTTGGGCTGTATTTAGATCAGCATGCATGAATGAGGCTCGAATAAATATGTCACCATAATAAAGTAATTTTAAGAGGCCAATTGATTATAAGATAATATAATAAGAGTGACCAAAAGTGACAAACTGTCTGCCAGAGAAGGAAAGGAGTGGGTGAACTCATTAGATTTTTGTCTCCTGTTACTGCTGGAGTACACTAATCAGAACTGTTTTGTATACAATGAAATATCAGTTATACTTACCACACAGAACTGTGGTAGTACTAAACTCACACATATAATGAGTTTATTGGCTGTGGTCAGCATGCTTAACCTTGCTGCTGAGTGTTGAATCATGTGAATGAACTGTTAAAAAGATAAACCCATTAACAAGATAAATTTTGACTTCCTTGACAACAGTTGCAACTATGAAGCCTTTCAAGTTGATGTAGAGTATAAAATTGATTGGGCAGTCTCTTGTTGTTAGTCTTGCTGGCCCGATAAAAGTAAAGGATTTCTAAGGAAAGCAATGAAGGCTTATCTGCTTTTTATCGCTCTCTGTCTCTGTATTGCTGTCGATAAGTCAGGTAGAATATCAATATGCACTATAATCTTGAACTATCATTATTCCCTTGCATAGCATCACAGGCTTGTACATACAGACAAGTCAGGCTTTATAATGGCACAAGTGCCAACAACAGAACTGGGATGCTCCAGATCTGCAACTCACAAAGAAGATGGACTGCTGTGTGTGACTACCGCTGGAAAAACTCCATTTCAGTAAAAGTTTGCAGAGATCTTGGCCACACTAATCCCAGTAATTATTTTTTCATTTTTTAAAGCATGAACTTCTTTTAATGCTTTTATGCAGGGCCTATTACATACATTAACAGTGGAAGATCTTGGGGCTCTCTTGGATATGTTGTTCCATCAGGAAGCTCTTCATTTACTTGCTCATCAAGGATATCTCTAGCTAACTGCTTGTCAAGTACCAGTGTATACCTAAGGAGAAGCTATGCTTGCTTGGCAACTCGTGACACCATTGTTATTGATTGCAACTTTGACACAAGTAAGGTCTGTATGATATCAAATAATCATTATTAGTTCTTAGGTGGTTGCAGCGGTTCAGAGATACGGCTATACAATAGTAATGCAACTAGTCCTGGGGGAATGGTACAGATGTGCCGTCAAGGACGATGGACTGCAGTGTGTGATTTTAGCTGGGGCTGTGCTGAGTCTGTTGTTGCTTGTAGGCAATTAGGATACACTAATGCAAGTAAGCAGGGAATCTTTTAAAGCCTTCATACACAAGGCAACTTTTTGCTAGCAACTGGCAAGCAGCACGTTCACCAAAAATAGAGCATCTTTCTATTCTTGTCAACATGTTGCTTATAGAATACTAAAGTAACCAGAAATTTCGCTAGCAACAACCTGCCCTGTGTATAAAGGCCTTTATTGCAATGAGAATTAACACCTATGTTGTGGTTATTATGTTCATCATTATCCAAATAGAACCAAAATTCACATATAACACTGCGGTGGATGTTAATGGATCTTGGACTGAGTTTGGTTATGGGCCTTACAGTAGCTGCAGTTCAACAGCTACCAGTCTCTCTCAATGCAGCACATGGCCTTCCTCCTTCAGAAGAAATCCAGCGTACTGTGAACCGACTCGTGATACTATTAAACTTGAGTGCTTACAACCTCTAAACAGTATGTTGAGAAATAGAGTGATAGTGGCATCTGTGGTATACTTTATCACTTAAAGTAGATTGTAGCTTATCATATGCTATGCAAACTTGATAGATGACATGATAACTTGATTGTCACTCCCAATAGATACCAATGACTATTGCTCTACAAACTATGACGTTCGTTTGGTCAATGGCACAACTAAAGATGAAGGCCGCCTGGAATTTTGCTACAGAAACAAGTGGACAACATTCTGTGGCTTAACCTACATCAGTGCAAAAACAGCTGCAACACTTTGCAATCAATTAGGATATGGTGGAAATAGCTGTAAGTGAGGGAAATGTAATTAATGCATGTTATTTTTACCTAATCACTCAAGGAGGAGCCTATGACCCAAACTAAAATGGAACTGTGTATATAAAAGCTTACTGTGAACACCGCCCCTTATAAAAGCTTAACTATGCCCAGCCCTGCAGGACCTTTTTGCACAACAAGTTATGTCAACTTCTTTTTATAGTTGCAACCCCAATTTATGATGGGAGATTCGGTGATGGAGATACAGTAGAGTATAGCAGGAGGATGTACTGTCAAAATGAATATGATGACATTCGTTACTGCTCTATCTTTCTCAGTAATTCTGGTAATTGCATTATTGGGTCTTCCACTCTAAACTGTAACTACAACAGACTAGGACTAAGATGCTACAGTGAGTCAGTATATTAAAGTATTGCCTTATTTGCTGTGAAAAAAATGAGCATATGTAGCTAAAGGAAGCTATAAATAAAGAGTTGGGTTTGGTTACAGTAGTAACCAAAACCCACCTTTTACAAACTTTTCCCCAAAAGAAACTTTAAAACTGTAATTATAGTAACAAAATGAGTAATAAACACCGCCTTTCTCTCCATTTATCCCAGAGCCTCAGAACTGCAATGAAGGTGATGTCCGTCTTGTCAATGGCACTGTTGAGAGAGAAGGAAGACTAGAAGTCTGTGCTAATGGGGTCTGGGGCTCAGTCTGCAGCAGGAGCTTTGCCATCTCAGCTGCATACGTTGCATGCAAACAAATTGGCCACACTAATGTCAATGGTAAGCCTTAGATGATCCTAATGCCATGGTGTTAATAGCTACTAATATGCACTGTCTAACCTTACTGTCTGGAGTGAGAAACAATAAACTATTGTACGGGCATAATATTATTAATATGATGTCCTGTTTAGTCTGCCTGGAACAATTAATGCAATATTACTCTCTCATTTTAGGAGCCGTAATCGATAGATATGGCTTATATGGGCTAGGAAATGGACCCATAGTCTACAATAATCTTGCATGTTTTGGACACGAGACCAACATCAATGACTGCAACAAGGTTATTGCTCCAAACTTCTATTGTCCGATCACTTACGTTGTGGGGCTCAGATGCCTTGACAGTAAGAGAGCCAGAATGTCTTTATCTGAGTCTAATCCTTTCATTTGTGTAGTGTGTAAGGAAGGAGATGTCCGCCTTACTAACGGCAGTCATTCATTTGAGGGGACGGTTGAGGTCTGTCTTGATAACACGTGGTGCCTTGTAGCTCAGCATGGCTGGGATGATGCTGATGCTCGCGTGGTCTGTAAGCAAATTGGAGGATATAACTCTTCAGGTAATGTCACTCTATAAGAGAGCATATACAGATGTCCATTGTGTATGTTTGCCCACAATAACGATTCCCTGTTTTTCTTAACCAGCTGGTGTAGCAAAATTGAATTCCACATACGGTCGACCCAAGCGAGCCATCCGCTACAGCAATGTGTATTGTAATGGGAATGAGGAGGAGCTTATTGATTGTACTCATCACACCTTTGAATTTGATTTCGGACGAACGTACGATGTACCCGTAGCAGGTGTCGACTGTGGAGGTATGCTGATCTCTGATACATAACAACACTATTACATATTCCTGTTTATCTTGTAGTACTGTCAACACCCACTGTAACCAGTAGCAGCAGCAGTACGAGTGGTATTACTGTGAGCACACCTCAAGGTGTTAGCAGTGGTAGCAATGATACAAAGGGAACTGTTTTCATAAGTGGTACTTTATTCATTGTTATTGGAACCTGCTTCCTTATTGTTGCGTGAGTTAAAATTATTTACAATTTTATTTAATTTTTGACAAGTAATACAAGATGTGTATTTAGTAACGTAATAGCACTACAAGATGTCAGACGAGTAGACTAATTATATAAAATATTTGCTGAATGTATTGCTGCCAAATAAACAATTCTCTTGTTTTCTCGTAGGATCATTATAATGGTGTTTGTCCTTTTGCGTATGAAGAAGCTCTCACTTAAGAGCAACAATACAACTGATATTACAACAAGAATGAGCAGCCTGCCTGATGATATAAAGCCATCACCTTCGGTTGTAAGCTACGACGAAGAATTGCTGTCTTGAAGAAAACTTTTTAATAATAATTTTGAAATTAATGCTGAATTGAATTATGCTGTTTTGATGTACATTTGTAGTTAAATTAAATAAAAATAAAAATCTAATATAAATAAAGATAAGATAGAGCAGCTGTGTCATACTATAGTTGAGATAAGAGCTTGATGAATATTATTAACAAAAAATCATATTATTAGAATTTGCATGTAAGCCAAAGATAATGTTCTGCAGAGCCTTACATTGCAGTAGTACAGAAGTACAAATTGATAAACAACACACCCTCTGCTCAAAGAGGGGTGAACAATTAAGTGTATGAAAAATTATCAAAAGATGATGACTTCCTTTTTTTGTACAATCACACATCAATTTTTATACTTCAAGGTGGGAAAAGGGTTTCAGAAAGCAAATGTAATTTTGTACCGGTATTAACTTTCGATCTTCTTATTTACAGCCTTTAACAAATGCTTTTTACTAGCTTATTAAGCAATTGAATAAAGAAATATCTAATACGTAGACAAAGTTTACTATCATGTATGTGTAAACTCTGAACGGAGCCTACAATCCTAGCATATACTTATAGTATAACTGTGTAATATGCCATTCCCATGATCATGATGTTGTCGCAATAATTAATGAAAGGAAATGATGCAAGGATGTATAATAGTTTGCTTTATATAAGATGCCGTACCGGGCAGTATTATCAAACAATTGTATGCCAACAGTCATGAAGGCTACACTATTGATCCCAGCAGTAGTGCTTGCTGCTTTTCTCTCTCTAACAGGTAAGTTGCATGAATATTTGATATCAGTCTCATTCTTGCTATGCAGAAGCTACCTGTGATTTGAAAGACATTCGTCTGTATGACAATGGAGAGGAGAGTCAGACTAAAGGGATGCTTCAAATCTGTGATGGTACACAATGGACTGCTGTCTGTGACTATCAATGGAGGCAAGTGTTCAGCATTGCTCTCTGTCAGGATCTGGGCCACGCCAATCCAAGTATGCATTCTTCCTCTGACTCTCTTAATTTCATTTTTGTCATCATTTGTAGCACCACTGACAGTATCAAACAATGGCTCATGGCCTTCAATACGCTATGTTAGTCGATATACCTCTCTATACTCCACTCCATCATGTCACTACAACAATGAGTCTATAGCTGCATGCTTGACAAGTTCATCCTACTATGTCACAAGCACCTATGCAAGATACTATTACTGTAACACTAATAGAGACACACTGTTCATCCAATGCGATTTTGACATGGGTAAGCCCATGCTTACTTAAGCCAGGCACACACTAAGCAACATGTTGCTAGCAACATTTGTAGTTACTTAAGATCTTGTAAGCAACGTGTTGCTGGAGATAGAAGGCTGTTCTGTTTCTGGCAACATTTTGCTTACACCACAAATGTTGCTAGCAACATGTTGTCTAGTGTATGGAGGCCTTTATAGACACTACCTTATCCCATAATTATAGGTACATGTACAAGAGGATCCATCCGCCTGTATAATAATGGGTCAACCAGCTCTACCACCAACGGTACAAGTGGAATGCTCCAAATGTGCGATACTAGTGGACGCTGGACAGCTGTTTGTGGCTATAGTTGGGGGTGCAGAGAATCTAGAGTAGCTTGCAGGCAATTGGGCTATACAGCAAATAGTAAGTGCAAAATTTAACAAATGATTGAAAGTTAAATCTGTTTGCAGATGCCCAATACATAATTAATGCTGGACCATGGCCTATTTTTGGATTTGGACCATATTCCTCTTGTAGCAGTAGTGCTACTAGTTTGAGTTCTTGCTATAGTTATTCAAGCTACTATAGACAAACCACAAGATACTGCAATCCGCTAGCAACCACTATTCGTCTTACTTGTCAAACAGGATCTCAAACAAGTGAAAATAACATCCTTTTAATATTTGCCTTATTATTAAAATGTTTTGTTGTAGATGAAAGCTGTTCTGAAAACTACAAGATTAGAATAGTCAATAAGAAAGAAACTGAAACCAGTATAGAGGGAAGAGTTGAAGTCTGCTATAGAAATGCTTGGACCCCATTCTGTAGGAGTCTCTACAGTGGATACTATTATTATTATCTGAATTCAGCACAAATTGGTGCAGCTATGTGTAATAGCCTTGATGACTCTCGAGTTGCAACCGACTGTAAGCTACACTGCATGCACAGCACATAACATGAGTGCTTCTGCATAACTAAACAAATCAACCTGCACAAATATTCCCCAGCACATTACACTAATCATTGTTATTGTTTTTTCAATAGTATCAGTGCTGTATAGAGATAATCGATTTGGTGTGTCTACTTCCGGAATGGAATCAATAACAAGGATAAGCTGCCCGGGATCAACAACCTCTGGTCTAAAATACTGTTCTTTCACTCAAGGGAGTTATTCTTATTACAGCTGCTCAAACTGTCCCGGCTCCCTTGGTCTTAAATGCTTTTGTGAGTAAATTTCCTTTCTCATGCACACATCACAAGATTGATGACACTGCACACAAAATTGATGACACTGCACACAAACAAATAGCTTAGGTAATTATTTTTTCTTTGATGATACTCCTACACGCTACTCATACTGTCTACACAGCTATGCGTATTTTACTTTTATGGAATATCAATTACATAATTACATTACAGACAGGACAGACTGCAATGAGGGAGAAGTACGACTAGTCAATGGTACAATAGACAGGGAAGGTCGATTAGAAATATGCACTAATGGAGTATGGGGTGGCTTCTGTGCTAACAGCTTCAGGAAATCTGCCGCTCATGTAGCCTGTAAACAAGCTGGATATGGAGATGTAATGGGTGAGTACTATAATTAGACTAGCCCTCAAATCAATGATCTCATATTGAAGGTGCCATCATTTACACAAACGGTGAGTTTGGAGTAGGGGATGGCCCAGTGCTCTATGGGAATGTTGAGTGTTTTGGTCATGAAAACTACATTGCCGACTGCTCAAAGAATATAGCACCAAATTTCACTTGTTACTCTTATGCTCCAGTTGGTCTTCTGTGCCGTGACAGTACGTTTAACATATAATGTTATGGTTTTATAATGTGATTATATTATGTCAGATTGCAGTGAAGGGTCTGTACGACTAACAGGTGGAAGGCACTCTTATGAAGGATACGCAGAAGTTTGTGTTGATGGAATCTGGACTCTTATTTCTGATAATGGTTGGGATGACATTGATGCTAGAGTAGTCTGCAAGCAGCTCAAAGCCTATGGCACATCTGGTCAGTCCACCAATAACCCAATATATTTTCATTTGCACACACAGCTGGGGAGAAAGTTGACAATCCGCCTTATACAAGATCTAACAAAGCCACAAGGTTCTCTAATGTGAATTGTAATGGGAAAGAAGACATGATAGAGGACTGCAGGCACCACACAATTGAATTAGAGGAGGGGAAGACCTTTGATGGACCTGTGGCTGCTGTTGATTGCAAAGGTATACATGGTTAAGTGCATTATAGCATGTTTGTTTATATGTTACATAGTTACTGTCTCAATTACTGTACCATCACCATCACAAACATCACAAACAAGTAATACTGGACGATCTCTGAAAAGAGAGGACACAATCCTGGGAAGCGGAGTAGGATTGCTCATACTAGCTATATCCATCCTTGTTATTGGGTAAGCAGAAAGCTTATACTCATTCCATTGCTATCGTTGTATTACAGTATAACTATCATGGCTTGCATCATAATGAGAATGAGGAAGCTCTCTATTGCTAAAGGAGGTCGCAATACTGACAGGGAGCAAACCACCATGCAGCATAGTCGCCTGGAAGAGGAGGATGCTTATGATGCCATAAGAGATCCTAATCCAGTCTCTGTCACTACAAAACCCCATTATGATGATGAGATGCTAAGCTAACTTTGTGTGCTCTTTTAAGTAATTAAACTTAGGCCCCTTTTCCCAATGCTGCTTTGATTTGCTACTTTTCATTTTTTAAACATTATTTTAAAATTATTGTCTCAAAATAGTGGCACCTAGTATAGATCTACTGCTAGTATTGTATTAATGACAGTTCCAATCATTAGAATAGAGAACTGAAATCCTGATAGCAATGTCCATGGGAATTGTTTCCAACTCAACCAGGTCAGAAATATGCAAAGCAAAACACGCTGAGACACAAAAACTGTCCAAGTAAGTTTAGAAAATAAAGAACAGAGAACTTTAGAAACAGATGGAAAAGTTCTGAAAGATGGTGAATAAAAATGTAACAAATCTTGTATGACAAGGAAAACTGTTGTCAGCTCAGTCCATATCTGCCACATTGCCAATGGATAGCCTGCATTAAGGAAGAGGACAGAGACCAGACCAACGAACGCAATCACATGAAAAACCTCCATCAGTAAATATTCTCCAATCAGGTTACTTGCATGCCTCCTGTTTAGTCTGATCCCACAGCAAAACAAGAAGCCAAGCTCAACAAGAATGTACCCACAGACACTCTCAATGATCCACGCGTACAATGGATTAGTTTTAGGTCCATACATGTCACGCCTTTCCTCTGGTCCCATGTTCAGCAGAGAGAAAGAGCTGAGAATGGAGGCCAGCGTTGCATTGGTTCCACTAATTACCACTGCAGCTCTGTCTATAGCAGTTCTCTGTACATATTTTTTGCTGTAAAATCCGAAGGCAACGTATGCAAGGCCAGAGTAAAACGAACAAGAGAGAATAAGTGAGAGCATTGTCTCATGCTCAATTATAAGTAGCCACGCCTATCATGGGGAGTGTCTAGCTTAGGCCACGTGAATCCACGTGGACATGAATTTTGGTGAGTAAAATATCAAAAATGGTTAAAATGGTCATGGCTATACAATGTGGATTAAATGTTCAGTCCTCTTTCCCAGTACAACGCTCATTGATATGACGTCTTAATTTCTGTATGCCTCCCACACGGTACTGCTTGCCACATTTCGGGCAGACCAGATTGGGATCATAGGGTGCTTTCTCACGCTTGCTAACTTCACTAGCCTGGGCATGAGTACCAGCCTGGGTATGAGTATTAGCTTCACTAGTCTGGGTATGAGAACTAGCATGGGTATGAGTACTAGGCTGGGTATGAGTATTAGCTTCACTAGCCTGGGTATGAGTATTAGCCTCACTAGTCTGGGTATGAGAACTAGCCTGGGTATGAGTATTAGCTTCACTAGCCTGGGTATGAGAACTAGCCTGGGTATGAGTGCCAGCCTGGGTATGGGTAATGGAACGAGTGATACCCTCGGTATAAGTATTAGCCCGAGCACGAGTCTCTTTCAAGCCATTCTCAACTATAGCGCTTGGAGTCAATAGCTTGTATGATTTCCTTGTATGGTCAACGTCAAGTAAAATGGCGTCTACTTCTCTCTCTGATCTCAGCCTCTCCTCTTCCTCAGCTCTTTCTATCTCATTATTATATAGTTTGGGTCTGCTGCTGCTAGTTCTACCAGTTATTGCAGTGGCTGGTGGCAAACTGCTCGTGACATCAGTCCTATTGAGCTTCATTGAGAGAGAACGATACTTTTGTCCATTGCTATGTGAGACAGCATTAATGCTAGCACCCTGTAATGAAGCTACTGGAGAGATTACAGGTTGTTTAGTAGCAGAGTTTGAAGCATCTAACTGTCTGTCTCTCGTATTTTGAGATTTACTGGTGGTGCTTTGAGGATTGTCTGTCAAACTTGACGTCCTCTTGTGGGATTTGAGTTTCTTCATTAGTTCCTATCAACACATGAAGGATGACATAATGATAATTATAAAACTTACAGTGTTGGCTGCCTTCATTCCTTCATTCTCTTTTCTAAGTGAGTTGATTTCTTCCCTGAGACTACTGATCTCTCCCCTTAACTGATCAACCTACAAACATAACATTGTTATGATCATGATCACCTTTCATATGAGATAAAATTCATAAAAATCCAAATTTGATCAGAATCAGTTTTAAGTTGATTCATAAGAAAAGAGCATGCATATGTATCAGAAAAAAATTATAAAAATGGCGAGTTCTCTCATTGACATTTTTGACAAAATTTGACTAATGACCCTGTACTATAGTACAGGGACTTTGGCCTGATTTTTTAGCAACTTTAAAAAATTTGTAAAAAATCTAAATTTGATCAGATTCCGCTCAAACTTTCTACATAGCATAAGTACATGTATATGCACCAGAAAAAAATTTTAAAATGCAGGATTCTCTCCTAGTCATTTTTGCCAAATTTCGGCCAAGGACCCTGTACTATAGTACAGGGACTTTGGCCTGATTTTTTAGCAACTTTAAAAAATTTGTAAAAAATCTAAATTTGATCGGATTCTGCTCAAACTTTCTACACAGCATAAGTACATGTATATGCAATTATGCATCAGAAAAACATCATAAAATGAAAAATTCTCTCCTTGACATTTTTGAAAAAATTTGGCCAATGACCCTGTACCATAGTACAGGGACTTTGGCCCCATTATTAGCAATAATTTTCAAAATTAGTAAAAATCAAATTTATGTGGTACCCATCCCGTGTTTGTCACAGACCTCAGTTTTGTGTTTCTCTTGACTCTGAGTTACTAATCCTTTTTGCTTGTCCACCTCACGACTGTAAGCATTCACTTGTGCTGTTAGCACTTGTATGTCTTCCTGAGCTTTTTCCCTTTCATTGCTTAATTCAACATTCTCCTCTGCCAATTGCTCACATCTCTATGAGGTTAAATCAGTAAGCATATATCAGTATTACACACACTGACAAGTCTCTACCTGTCTTTCAATTAGCATCCTTTCTTTTGTTTGAGCAAATTCTTCTCTTAAATCCTCTAACTGGGAGTGAATCCTTTCTCTGTCAACCCGTTCGCTATTAAAATCTTCCACATAAATAGCACTCTATTAAATCAATTAAAGTATCGAGGAGACACTTTAAAGGCAACAAACAAACCTCTGCATCTTTCATTTGTAATTTCTCTTGTAATTCGCTTATGACCTTTTCTTTCTCCCTCTCCACTCTTTCCAACTCATTGCTGAACTGCCTCTTAAACTGGGTTGTAGTTTGCTCCCTTTCTTCGAGTGACAAATGGAGTTTAGCATTCAACTGAACATTTTCTTCCATTACTCTTCTTAATTCAGCTTCGTTTGCTTCTGACTTTACAATCAGCTCTGACAACTGCATCTAATAAATAAGCAAAATATTATATTTTATAAACAATCAACCATTTTAATAGGAACCTTTAGTTGCGTGTTTTCTTCCTCCAACACTGTAGCTTCCTTGATTCTTTCCACATCATGCAATTGAGCAGTTAATAAAGCATTCTTAGTCACTGCTTCATTTAATTCAGTTTCTTTCACTTGATACAGTTTAACCAGTTCTGATACTTGTGCCTACATAAAATTATACATAAGACAATTTATAAAGAGATGTACACTTACTTTTAAATGTCGATTCTCTTTCTTGATCATTTTAATTTCATTTTTCTCTTCTGGTGATTTTCTAACATTTGTTGTCTTCAGTCGAGAATTTTCTTCCATTAATTTTCTCATGTCAATGTCATTTGCTTCGGATCTTTCAACCAACTCAGACAAATGTGCCTGTTACAAAAACAGTAAAGTATTTATGGATAATTGAATAACAGTAATTACTTTTAATCGCTCATTCTCTTCTTCTGCTACCAATTTAGCTCGGTGTATTTTCTCAACGTTATGATGCAGTTGAGAGTTAAGTTGAGCATTCTCTTCTTTGACTCTTTCCAGCTCAGTCTCCCTTGCCTTTGACAACTCAGCCATCTCAGATAATTGCAACTGATAAAGTGCATTATATGAACAGCTAATAATAGCAAATAAACTTACTTTTAATTGTCTGCTTTCTTCCTGGATTACTTTAATTTGATGGCTTTCTTTGGGTGATTTGCTCAGTCGGCTATTTTCTTTTACTACCTTTCTCAGTTTAGATTCATTTTCCTCATTAGTTTGGACCAACAAAGACAACTGTACCTGTTACAAAAACTAATACTCCAACATGTATCTTTATTCATTTTACCAGTAGTTCTTTGTTCTCTTCTTCAAGCTTTAATTTAGCTTGATTTATTGCTTCCATATGATGCAGTTGAGACTTTACTTGCATATTCTCCTCTTTAAAGATTTCCAGTTCTGTTTCTTTTGACTTCAACACCTCACTCATCTGAGATATCTGTGCCTGATGATAAAACAATAAATAGCTCACTTAAAAATAGAAATATAAACTCACTCTTAGACCTTCATTCTCCTTTTTTACTTCTGTATGTCTCTTGCTTTCCTATTGATACAAGAAAAATGCACACATCATAAAATTATACGACTAACTACAAATGCAAAGAATTGCAACAAAACAATACACAGAGACACTATACCTCATCATATTGATGGGTATGCATGGAACCAGATGATTTTGATCCACTATATGTTAAAGATCGTGTTTTGCGACTAGCTCCAGATGAACTCATTGAAGATAAAGTAGAACTATGAGATTTCCTATCTCTTGATACTGATTGAGTTGGATCCTGCACTGGGGTATGAGGAGAATGGAGTAGGATGGGATTAGGTTGATGCATTGCAGCAGTTGCTGCTGTACGTCCAGCAGAGATATACTGAGAAACAGCAGGTACTGCAGGTTCTTCTGCTCCTCCTTTCCATACTCGACTAGAGGACTCCAAGAGTCTAATGGCCACATAAATTGCATAAGCATGAGCTTTCCCTTTACTTTTTTGCAGGCTAAAAGAAGTAATTTGAAGTCGATTATCATTCCTTTCAAACATACTGTAACTTCTTAATTCTTCTTCTATTTTAATGACATATTCTTCATGAGAGGAATAATTAATGGGAGTTTCCGCTTGAGTGACTACAGTAAGAACAATCAATCCATTTCTCCCACAATCAGACCTTTTGCATTCCTCCCACTGCAGTTTAAGAGCATCTTTATTCCAAGTCCTGGGATCCATTATATCAAATGAATAGTAATCTCCTTTCCTTTTTGTACGTTCTCTTTTATTAATCGGTGCTCTTCCAATGGAAAAGCCCACTAGCTGGCATCCCCTCCTAACCTCAATCTCATGTATAATCTCATTGAGCTTCTTGTAGAGTGATGAAGCTACAGATCGAGTAGTACGAAAATTTTTAGTCAGTTTTAAAAGACATTTTGCATCACAGACGCAGCAGGGACTCCCATTGCAAAGAGTATCAAAGGCATAGCTAGTCCTGGTGACCGAACTGGTGACAGAAGAAGAAACCGCCATTTTATAGCATTAACAAAAAATAGAAAACACTCAAAACAGGGTGTGTGCTAGATTGTCACGTGACAAAACTAGCCCCACCCTATTAGAAGGAGGGGCTGATGGTGCAGTGCAACTCACTGCTTATCCATTTTCTTGCCAAAGAAAGCTAATTTAAGTATTTGCATGTAGGTTTAACCAGTTCTTTTAAAAGCTGCCAATTTTAATTTCATAATTATGATATCAAATTTTATTTCTTTATTTTTTATGACACTGTTGCCATCATGAAGCTGACTTTTGTCATTTTCTGTTTGACTACAATAGTAACTTCTCGACAAATACCAGCAGCTCAAAGTAAGACTATTATACTACTACTTCATGAGACTCTATTGTATTACTTGCAGATGATAAAGACTTTGCAGCAAATCAAGAAATTGTTAAAGAATCTGCTGTTCCACAAGACACATATGAAAATTCATGTTTTGAAGCATGTAGGATTAACTGCATGATTAATAATGGTTTATTTTCAATTTAGCATCTGATGAAGAGGAGGATGGCATCATAATTGATGGTGATATATTAGTGAGTAAAGAACAAGCAGCAATATACTATGAGAGTGGCTGGGATGGACTAGTAAACTCTGAAGCATGGGAAAATACAAAAAGATGGGGAAAGAAGATCCCATATAAAATTAGCTACAGCGATAAAGAAATGAAGGACAATCCAACCGAAATTAACAAAATAGTTGCAAATGTAGAAAGTTCAATGAAAGCAATAGAAGATAAAACAGGATGCATTAAATTCTCTAAAGCATCTTGCACTGATTTCATAAGACTAAAATTCAACATAGGGAAAGAGTGAGTTGGTACTAATCTTTTATTACTAAATATTAATTGCATCATAGTCGAAAATGCTACACAACATTAGGTCGTCCTGTATTTGGGAATCGTGACATTAGTCTTGGGTATAATTGTGCTGGTACTCCATGCAGGGCCATGACACCAGCACACGAGATAATGCACACAATGGGACGCCATCATGAGCATAACCGACCCGATAGGGACACCTATGTAACTATATATTCAAAAAACACTTGTGAGAGACATATATTTTGGTTTTACTATTATGATTATGTTTAAATGCTACAGGTCCTACTCAAATGAAGATAGTGAAGGGAGCTGCAACAAAGGGGATTGAGTATGATTACTATTCTGTTATGCATTACAGTCCAGGGCAATGTGCAACTTCCACTCACTTATCATTCAGCATTAAAAAGAGCAATATCCTCATTCATAATGTTGGGCAGAGGAAGCTATTAACTGATAAGGATATACAGCACATCAAAGCTATACATTGTTCAAGTAAGAAAGATTAGTTTTTGTGACTTTTAATGTTGTATGTAAGGTATGATGATGAGACTGGTGGGTGGGAGAGATAATAGTGAGGGACGTCTTGAAGTTAATAATAAAGAAGTTTGGGGAACTGTTTGTTCTGATGGATTTGATACAAATGATGCTAATGTTGTATGTAAGTATCTGG